GGGAATTCTGAGAGTTGAAGTCCACCCGTCTTAAAGTTGACAAGGTTGAGAAACACTGGCCTAGAGAGTTGAGGGACCCTGGAAATAAATAAGATTGGCTGGAGACCAAAAGGCGTCATGGCTCAGGGGCTGAGATTCTGCTTTGCACACAGACTGCCCTGGTTTCGTTCTGGTGCTCTCAGCTGGCAGGTGCACGTGGCAGGAAAGTCCCTCCTGCCATAACTGGGCTTGCAGATGAGCTCCTCGGTTGGCCTCCTTGTGGGGAATCCTACGGCGCTTCCTCCAAAAGGGATCTGATAAATCTTCTGAAGACCTTGACTTCTGTTTAAAGAGGTCCACAGCGTCTCTGTGGCAAGACAGTGGGGGGGCAGCCGCTTCCCCCCCCCCCATTTCTCACCACTTGACAATATTCTGGGTCTGCGTGCAAGGCAAGGTGGAAGAACTCACCTGCGCGACACACGGTTGGGTTCGAAAGCAAGGTGGTGAGAGCTGTCGAAATGGTGAGACTTTCTTCTAGAGATGTTTCGGCCAATCTGGTGTTCTAAAGGCACGATATCCTCCGGCTACGAACAGCAGGATAACTATTCCTTCCCGTTGCCTCGAATCCGGATTCTTTTCCATCTTCCTCCATGCCATGCAGACAAATGCCGCCTTTGTATGCTCCACACGGTAGGAGTTCTTCCGCTCCTTTAAGGAAGAGAATAAAAGGGTAAAGTCACCTTCCAGTCCAGCTTCGCCGGTCAGTGGTCATCTCCATGGAGTTTTATTGACAGTTTCGTCATTGCCTTCTTCTAGAATATTCCCCCCCTGCACAACTTCCTAGTTGATTTCGCAGCGCCAAGATTTCCTGGTGGTCTCCCATCCAATACTAACGCAGCCTGGTTAAAGGTGACGCATCCTCCGATTCAGACTCGACTCCTGGTGAGTTCAAGGAGACATCCAGGCAGTTTTCTTGGCCACAGGGCAAACGTGGTTGGAGGTGGCATTCTTCCAGGATGCATTTCGACTTCCACACCTGGGAATTCCTGGTCACTTCCCACAAGGAGTTTGGAAATGAAATGTTAGGCTGAATCCAAATCCTGGCCAAATATAATATTTGGGCTGCAGTGACCCTGGGAATGGTCATTCTTTGTGTTTTCAGTGTCAAAGTTGACCGCCAGGAGATAAAGGGGAGTTGAACGGAATTGAAGAAAGGGACAAAATAAAAACTGACTTGTCACTCTTTATTTTTTTAAATTTTTTATTTATTATTAAATTTATATGCTGCCCATCTCCCCCACAGGGTGACTTAATATGACACTCTTAATATTGTTGGAAGGCTTTCTTTTTCTACAGCGACCTGACCAATTAACCCCTTGGTTGACCCCATGCTCTACACCTGTTTCTCAACCTCAGCAACTTTAAAGAGTGTGGACTTCAACTCCCAGAATTCCCCAGCCAGGAATTCCCCTGGCTGGGGAATTCTGGGAGTTGAAGTCCACACATCTTCAAGCTGCCAAGTTTGAAAAACACGGATTTATACCTGACCCCTTTTTAATTGGCAAAAAAAAAAAAAAAAAATCCCCAGTTGGAAACGTCCCGTCCAAAATCGAAGCGCAATTTTCGCTGCAGAGTCGGTCCAACCACGTTGCTTTTAGGCCCCGCCCCCGCCCCCGCCCCCGCCCCCGCAGGCTTTCTAATGAAATTCTAATACTCGGACCAGTAACCAATCATAAAAGGCGTCCGGAGGACGAGCCAATCAGGAAACAATGCGACCGCTGTCAGTTAGCAGGAAAGGGCGGGAACAAAGGGTTCACTCGCGCAGGTGAGGTTTATGAATGGCTGGTGGATGGGCGGACCTCGTTTTTCCTCTCCTTCCAATGGTAGGTCGTGTTGCCTCGAGTAATGAGAGACAGACGTGGCTGGGAAGCTTGTAATTGGCTAAAAGGAAAAAGAGGGCGGGGCTTCCCTTTAGGTTTCCCTCAATGATAGAAACCGCTGCCTCCGGAGGGCGGGTTTAGAGCGCGCGAAAAAAGCAGACGTTTTCATAGGGTGAGAAGTAAATAGTGGGCGGGGCACGGTTTTCCCTTCCAATGGCAGGAGGAGGAAAAAGCGCGCGCGAGGAAAGCCGAGGCGGTCATAGGAGGAAGCACGGATTGAAGGCGGGGCTTCTTCTTTCCAACCAATAACAGACACAATCCTCGGGGTGGGCGGGGTCGTGGCGGCCATCGTCCTTCTCCTCTCAGTCGACGGCGGGACGTGTTTCGGGGCATCGTCTTTTGGTCGATTCTTCCTTCCTTCCTTCCGGATGGAGGCCGCCGAGGTCGAATTCCTGGCGGAGCGAGAGATGGTCACCATCATCCCCAACTTCAGTCTCGACAGGATTTACCTCATCGGGGTGAGGCCTTCGGGAGCAGAGGGCTCTTTCTCCCGGGTCGACGGACTACAACTCCCATGCTCCTTTGCCCCATGCCGGTGGGGTTTATGGGAAATGGAGTCCAAAAACAAGTTGTCCATTGATGCCTGGAGAGGGGGGGCTGCATTTCATCTCCCACCACCCCAAGCGTGGCTAGTGGCGGGGGGTTATGGGGTTTGTAGTTGCATGCGTTCAGGGTTCCCTCAGCTACTCCCATCAGCTCCAGCCAGGATATATGTTGGCAGGGAATTGTGGGATTTGTGGTCCCCAGGTTTATTCCATTTGATGCCTTTTGTGCGGGGGAGGGTAATTTCCACTCCCATCAGCCGCAACCAGTGTGGCTGGGGGTAGAGGGTTATGGGGTTTGTGGTTGAATATATTGAGGGTGCCCTCAGCTACTCGCATCAGGTCCGGCCAGGATATCTGTGGGCAAGGGATTATGGGATTTCTGGTTCCCAAGAATATTCCACTTGGGGGAGGATTTCCACTCCCATCAGCCCCAGCCAGCCAACTTGGGCCATTTCCTTGGACAAGCCCTTTGTGGGCACCAGGTGTTGTGGGGGGGGGGGTTGCAGATAACATGGGTGCCTGTGGGCCATTTTAAGGGCTGAGGCCCCTTCCTGAGTTTCTCCCTTGTGGACGTTTTTTCCAGGGAGAACTGGGTCCCTTCAATCCCGGGCTGCCAGTGGAAGTGCCTCTCTGGCTGGCTGTCAACCTGAAACAGAGGCAGAAGTGCCGGCTGGTGCCTCCAGAATGGATGGATGTGGGTAGGGTGTGACTCGCTGGCCTCTCCACCTGGCGTGGCTGATGTCCCCTGTGCCAGTTACCCTTCGGTCCTTCCAGCTGCCACACAGGAAGCTGGCGAGCTAGTTTTCCTTCTCCTCTCATTGCATGTTTCGTTTCTTTTGCTAAGCAGGGATTTTAAAACAAGTGGTGCAGTAGGAGTCAGCCGATTGTTGATAAGATCAGGGGAGCTGTATTCTGAATGCACTGAAGATGTTACTTAGCTGGGTAATGAAACGTTTGCAAGAAAACGACCAAGCTCGGAGATCCCCAAGGACTCCACAGTTCATCCCTGAGCTACACATATTCTCTTCTAGTGGAGCCATACCTGCCCATTACCTGCCTCTTCCCCTTTTTTTACCTTCACTGTCTCATGAGTGGCAAAACCAAAATGGCCTCAAAAATGAAGAGCCTAGGGAAATTAGTTTAGTCCTGATTCTGTTTCGGGTTAAAGGTAATCCTTCAGGGTTAATGGGTAGTCTTGTAATGTGCACTACACGCTTATCACCCCTTGTCTCAGTTCAGTGCAGCATCTGGTTGCAGAGCGTTGGTTTTTGCCACAAGGATTTTTAGCAGGTTTCTTGTCAATGGCTCAAATATACTTTTGGTTCTTTTTTGACCGGTTTAATTGGCTACATGGGCACATATGTACTGATATGTTTCTATAGAATCTTTATAGTCCTGACAGAAGTTTTTTAAAAAGTTAATATTTTAAAAATAACAGATGCATTTAAAAAGATTGCCAACAGTTTTATTTTAATCAAATACATGATCAGGCGTGCTTGATCAGTGGGTATCTCAAATACCTATAAACAGATTACATTGCTCAGTTGTAAGTACTGTAGTGACTTTTAAGACATCAGAAGTTGATGTGTTCCACCGTTATGACAAATTACAATTATTTTTTTGCTGCAGTTGTGGCAGTTGTAACACCCTTTCACCTGTAGGCTTCTGTATCAAGGATTGTGCCAGAATTGGTGGCTTGTACGCTTATCATGCCAGAGCTAAATACTGCTAGAAAATGTCTCTTTCTTATAAATGTACTAATTTATTTTAGAAACCTAAACCGTGCATGTAAAGCTAAGACAGAGTGAGAGAGATGAATAGAAGCTGTTCTGCCGAAATTCAGACTCCTTTTTATTTTATGTTTTGTATCTGTATGTTCCCGGCAAATACAGTATTTTTGATCAAATAGTTCATCCAATAGTATTAATAACATTTCTGTTGGGTGTGGAAAACTGCAGCACTGTTCTTTGGCGACTATTCTTATTTTTTAATTGCCTTATAGAAAAGCTGGAGCAAATTCGAGATCAGGAGCGCAAGGAGGACACCTTCACCCCAATGCCTAACCCTTTTTACATGGAATTAACTAAGTTGCTGCTGAACTAGTGAGTAGGGTTCTTATTCTTGACAGTATTATTTGGGAATGCAGCAAATTCTAATTCTGCCAGAGCACAAAGAAACTAGGATTGCCTTGGATCTGAAACTGGAAACCAGCAAGAACTCTACAAACTGCAGATGCTCTAGAGCAGTTTTCTAATCTATTCACACATATTAGTTCATATTATATATTATATTATTATGTAATAATATATTATATGTTGCTTGACTTTTGGGGTTTAGAAGTTAATACTGTTTATATCCAGGACTTTTTTTTTTTACAACATGCACGACTATTAACTCTTTGCAATCTTACCAATCTATTTCTTTTCTATATTAGTGCTGCAGATAATATTCCAAAGGCAGATGAGATAAGAACTTTGGTTAAGGATATGTGGGACACTCGAATAGCGAAACTTCGTGTATCTGCAGATAGCTTTGTCAGACAGCAGGAGGCTCATGCCACGGTAAGAGAAATCTGCGACGAACGGGCTGAACTCATTGGAAGACTATTTGTGTGGTATAAACGAATGCAGCATTTCTGTGAATTGATAGTAAAAGGGATAATCGTATGTCAGTTCTAGAATAGCTAAGAAGGACATTAGGCTTCATTTTTATTACTTGATAGCAGTGGTAGAGGAGCTGTAGTCTTGCAGACATAGTGAAGTTTGGTATACAAACACTTACAAACATACAATTGTTGTGCATACTCAGGGATTGACCACAGCCTACTGAAAGGACGTGTGTTGATTGCGTTGTATATGTAGCTATGTAGAATTCTACCCAAATGCATATTCCTATTGCTTATGCACATAATGTAGGAAGTGTGTGTTTTACAATGTAAATACACATTTGTGGCTCTGCACTCTTTAGTCTAACAAACTAAGATTTACAAGTTGAATCTAATTAGAATGGTGGGTATGTATTTTGTTCCTGCACAGTCTAGACCAACTTCCTCACTCAGGTGCCCTCTAGGTATATTGGACTGCAACTTACATCATCACCTGTCACTCTAAACTGAATGGGCAAAAGCTGGTTTATAACATTTCATTATGGGTGCAGGTCACAACTGTTGATCCACCTTCCAAATTCTTTTAGCCAAAATGGAATATAAATTGATGGAGTGTAATAAACTATGCTTGCAGAAGACTTGTTCTGGTGCATTTTGGGATCAGTTGTTAAGCTCTGGGAATCAAGAGGAAAATAAATGTATAGAGAAGTTTACAAAGTAATTAAAGAGGGTTTAAGGGAGTGCCTCTAAATTCTCTTCAAGTTATTGTCAGATGCTGCCTTATTGTTACCAAGCTGTCTGTCATGGGAACTAAAGACTGGCTTACTTTTAAAAAAGTGAATGGTTCAATTCTGAGGGTTAATTTTTGCCATTTATACTTCTGCAAACTGTGTTGTTTTCTTGTCTCTTATAAGCTGGATAACCTGACTCTGATGGAGATCAACACCACCGGTGCTTTTCTCACCCAAGCTCTGGATCACATGTACAAGCTCCGAACAAACCTCCAGCTGGGAGAGAGTGTCCAGTCCCAGGACTTTTGACAGCAGGGTTTTTTCATGAAGAGAGTGATATTCTCTTAAGCAACTACCTCTCTGGCATTACTGGCTTCCGAGCAAACCTACTCTGTGCCAGATTGTGACGTCATGTTCTTCATAGCATTTGCTTCTGGGAAAAAGACTATCTGCTAAATGATCAACAGCCTGGTACCTAAGCCAGTCTGCCAGTGCTACCAAGGAGTTGGTATTGTCCTTGGCAGGTGAGGAGGACTGTTGACTTTCCTTGGCAAACAGGCTCTTGCCCAACAACACTCCAAGCACTGCACGCCTGCCATTCCAAGATGCATCGGATATAACTATTCATGGCTGCCTTCTGTGCTAGGTTGTTTCACTATCATTTGTACGTTGGAAGAAGGAAAGAAACTACTTGCATCTCTTAGGGATGCTGCTCCTTCATGGCCTGTGCCTTCTGATCTTTGTGGAAAAGAGGAGAGAGACTATTTTAAACTTCTGGCTGTGTAGCACTCAGCGGGCCTACTTGGGAAGTGATTTGTGCCTGCCCTCCCATCTTTCCATCCAACACTGGGTTCGGTGCAGTGTCACTCACTGAAACCTCCTTGTCAGTTAGCCTCAGAGATAAAGGATTTTTTTTTCCAGAGGCCATGACAGGGACCACTGAGGTACAGTGCCTTTTCGTATGTGTCTGCTAAAACAGAAAGAACATCTCTGTGAAGAAATGAAGCCACAAAACCCACACGGTTTGGCTGAGGTTCCATTTTTCTTTTAAATGCTTGCTGTGACTAAACCAGTTCTTTGCAATAGCCAGACTCTATTTATGTTAATCATATAAGCATTCTCACTGTTAGTCGTAATAACAAACATTAGCCATCTAGTTTTTGAATATTTGGAGACTGCACTTAGGATGGGGGAGGGCGCTAGAGAGGTTTGCTAGTCGCTGTTTTATTAGGCAACTGTAAAATAAATATTTTTAAAAAGCAGTCCTTTACTGCAGTTGTAACTCTCTGACCTCTACTATGGGGTAGCCTGTGGGACATTTCGGATCTAGAAGAATGTACAAGAAAATGAGTTGCTTAAAGTATGGTGATTTGTCCCTCTTAGTGAAAGACTTCTCAAAATCTGGAGGGTTTAATTTTTGTAATGTAGAGCCTCAATGTAAGTTCCACCCTTTGCCTCATACAGATCCTCTTTTTCTTTTATTACTTTCATTTTTCAACCTTGGCATTAGAATTTCAGTAAATGAATTTTACTCAGCAAGTAGCATTTTTACATTAGACTGTGAATTTTTTGCAGGTAAAAAATCTTGTGCATATTAAAAAAAAACCAACATACACCTTTAACTACCCTAAGTGTTCTTAAGCCTGGGCCCAAATTAGCCTCCTCTGAGGAATCAAAGCTTCAAATATTAAGGCAGTGGTTACGTTTGTTCAGATAGACAGATTACATCTAATAATTGTCCTTTCAATTCACTCTTGTATGTTTTTCCACTAACATATTATCTGAAGCCTGTTTGTCATCCAGCTTGACTGGGTGCTGATTGGGATTCCTGTCCCAATTTAGCCCTGGCTATCCTAGTGATGTGAATGTATTTCCATTCCTTCAGAGGAGGAGTACAGTATTGATGACCTACCTTAACGATGTGGCTGTGAGGCGCTGCATAGTAAATTCTTACTACAATAATGTCCCAAGTGAAACTGTGCCACGAGATTTGACCTCTCTTGTCTGAGGTCCCATTTCTAATACAAAGAGCTGATACAGCTTCTATTTAATATTGGGGGGGGGGGCGGTAGTCTGGGAAAATAATCCTTTGTCATGATTTAGGAACATTTTATTACTTTTTTTTTTTTTTGGATGTTGTCAGAAATTACAGCAATATATTCATAAATACCTAATAACTACATTCAACAAATATATTACATTACATTTAAGTCAAAACAAGTACACTTAAAACAAGTTGAATTTGTTTCACAGCATCTACTTGCCCCAGCAAGGCCCGGGCCTTTGCCCTCCTCCTCCTCTCCCCTCACGCTCTGTGCTTATTCGTGGAAGAAACCCTACACAATACACCAAACAATCAGCGTGGCCCTCGGTCCAAGGGAGAGCAAATCGGTTATTTCTCAAAAATGTAAGCACTGGGCCAGGACATTTGTGAAGGGGGGTGGGGAGAGGGAGAGGGAGGAGAACAAGATTAACGATCACAATTATGGGTAGAAGAAAAGTAAAAACATTTGCAAAGATGGATTGGTCCAAAGTGGGCTATTGTTTTTTTTTTCCATGTTAGCACCTTTTTAATCTCTGTTTTTATAGTTCTGCGTCATAAGCAGGAAAGTATTTCAAATGATGTCGGACCTGCTTTGAATGGGAAATAGGGGTTGCTCTGGCAGTTTGCTCACCAGTGTCTGAAGCTAGATTGGACTCCAACCAAGCTTGACTAAGTGTACATTCCTTCTTTAATACACGGAAATCAAGCCAATTGGCTCTCCTGCGTGTCCTTAAAAAACACCTGTTGGGCTTGCGAAAACTGAAGCGACGTGGTACAAAATATAGCCCACATTCTATTCATTTGAAGGGTTGGGGGGAAAATAGTGCAATTACGTTTAGAAGAATGATTGCAACAGCCTTGCTCTTCCTATGTCCATATTCCCCCCACCCCACCCCCTTCCCTTATTGGGAAAAACTTGGCAGAAACCATGATCACTATCATTTGAAAGACATTGCTACTGTAGCTGATCAGCATGGTGTGAAAATATTTGCTTTCAATGAAACCCCATCTTGGTAACGTAGGAGTGGGGCAGTGGGTTTCATTACTGAGTCAGAAATTTAGAGTGCCATTTTTCTTACATAAGCTTTTTTAAAGGCAGTCTTTACTACACTGTATTACTGCCTCTTAGATATATTTGTTGTACTAATTTTGCCTTCTTTCAAGGCTGGCTTTTGTAAATCCATCACAAAAAGGCCTTCTGGATGGAAGTCCTGAATGTACTGTGGTGTGATCTCATAGTTGAGTATGTTTCAGCAGCCCTGAGACCAGGGATAAAAACTTTTCCAAGTTTTGCTTTTTGGTAAAAATCTAAAGAATGCCAAGACAAAAAAAGTTTTTCCCCCTCTGTTGAAGGCAAACATATGGTAACATCCAAGTTATCATCAGAGGCAGAAAAATAAATTGAATGACTTTCACATTTTCTGTTCTTCGTTCTCACGCTCCATCAGAGCTGATTGTCTCAGGTTATCATGAATGGATGTTCAGAAATGGGCAGGCTTGGCTGTTGGTGGATCATTTACTCATGTAAAGAAGTCAAGAGTTCTTGGCTGCATCTAAGAACAAGACTTTCTAAAACAGGCCACTAAATTTGCTCTTTAATGTTCCTTCCTTGTCACATAGTTTCTTCTGGAGAATGGCGAGGACTTTGGTATTAAGAGTTGCATAGAATTGGGAAGCGTGCCAGGCGAGGCTTGGTCACCTAGATGAAGCAGCTGCCCCAGCTGAATTTGTATTTCTAAGCAGCCATGAAAAGCGTCAGATTATCTTCTCGTGTGACTGATCACACAATCCTATAAGAATGCTCTTTCCATTACCAGTGAGTTTGTTTTAGTAGCGCTAGCAACGCAGCATTGCACATCAGCCATTAAATCAAAGGATAACAGATATGAAAAAAAAAAACCCGGTAAATCTTTGCTGCAAAGAGGCTAAAAATTCCAGCATTCTCTTGAGTGTCCTTTAGGTAGAAAGGTGGGCTATAAACTGAATAAATAATATTCAGAATATTGAGATTTTTATCACACTTTGTCTGCAAAAATTGTTAGGAAAGCCATTTTTAACTTAAATCTCTCCAGACAGTTTATGAATGTATAAAGGGGTTGGGAGACTTAAGAGGGAGAGGTTTACCTTGAAGAGAGCAAGACTAGGAACAGCCTCTGGGAGAGGTGGTTCTCCCATCATGTCTGAAATGTACAATGTGGACAGCTCTCCGTGGTATAGTGGTTAGTCAACACAGGAAAGCATATGACAGCTCAGTATTAGGTAAAATTTCCTAATGGTAAGAATAGCTCAAAAGGCTTGCCTCCACCCAGTATACTGACACAGGTGGGGCAATCATCTGTTGGGGGTCATTTAATTTGGATATTAACCAATCTTTATACACAGGTTGCTTTTGCACATTGCAAAAGACTTGTGCGGCTACACCTAAGAAAGATGTAAAATGAAAAACAGTTTTGACATGAATGAAGGAAGCTTAAATTAGACCTGGAGTTTTTGTTTTTTTTTAAACAGCATATGCCATGCTAACTTACCCATCTTGTCTCTAATGAAAAGATTCTGCTCTGGTACTGTCAATTTCATGGTTAATTCACTGACTTTTGGAAAGCATAGCTAGAAATCTGGATAGGGTTGGTTAAGTAAATCTGTAGGAATGCCGTCAGTTTAAAATGTCACCCAGGTCATACTTAAAGAAGAAACAAAATGCTAATCCAAACCAATTCTTTATAACTATTCAGAAGCATTGAAATGTTGGCAAATGTGAGCTGTAGAGTTAAGATGGCTATACAAAAGTCACATTCCTGTCCTGTCCTGTCCTGTCCTGCATGACCTTTGGGGGATTCTGAATTCACAAGAATAAGGAATTGGACATGTAACATGCTGAGACTCTTAACATTAGAAGCACAGGGCCTGTTTTAACATAGGCAATACTGCAGTATTTACTAAAGGATGTGGAAATATTTTAAAAAAGGTGCTGCAAAAGACACAGGAGAACCTGGAAAGTGTTTCTTTTTGAATCATTACGAGCAGGGGGAGAAGCCCAAAGGGGACTTTTAGAACAGCTTTCAAAGCAGCTACTTTGGAAAAAGACGCAGCTACTTTAACAGGCCCAAAAGAGGTACTTGACACAAGCTCTCCCATATTCCAAAGCACCTCTTCCAAAGAATTAGCACAGCCATACTATATACTTCTAGATCATTTCACTTTTGGGACAGAGGGTTGTAATGAGTACTATGGTGCCGGTGAAATGCAAAATATCCATGGAGTTTGCTGGGGCCCATTTACAAATACCCCATTGCAGAATGGGCTTTTGTTATACCAGCAGTAGCTCCCATGATGCTGGGTGTTTGTGTGCCAACAATTCTAGCTTTAGATAATGTAGCATAATTTTTTTTTCTCTTCTTTTTCATATACTCTTTGATGATTCAGGATAGATCTTCTAAAGGAAAAAAAAAAAAAGAAACCTCAGAAAATCGGTGCCACCAATGTGTGATTTTAGATGTTGCAGGTAAAACAAACAAGTACTACATCCACTAAATGTTTTAATGTTGTAACTAAAATCTTAGCTGTCTCAGATTCTTGTCTTCTCAGTAGCAGTTAATCACAGTTGGTATTCCAAGTGCTTTAAGAAAAGGAGGAGGGGAAGGGAAAAGACATTCCTGGTTTTTAGCAAGAGAATTTTCTGTGCCAGTAACTGGTGCTACACACCACAAAATACCAAGAGGTGATAGCAGTTGCCCCAGCAGAAAGCTTTCCTTTAAAATTCTTTTCAAAAACACTTCATTATTTTTTCAGGTCCTGACCAGCAGCTGTAAAAACAGTAAAGCAAGCCCATTTTTTTTCCTTTTGCCAAAAAAAAAGAGAGAAAAAAAGCAGAAACATATTGAAAATGGCAAGCTTTTTATAATAATAATTAAAGTAATAAAAACATACAAAACTTTTTAAAATATATACACACTAAGGCTGAAGCACCTTTTTCAACTCTTTAATTGCAAAATCTTTGTATGAAAATTCTACCCACTGGGGTACATAATCTATGCATTGTATGTTCTATACATCTTCCCCTCCCCAGTAATAGAAAGGTACCTTCAGTTTGTTTATTCACTTTTATTTGTCAAGTGAAGTGCATTTCCAGCCAAAAAGCTGATTGATGCATGGGAAGTCAAGTTTGGAAGCTGCATTTTCTTCTGCTAGTTTATTACTGTGCAGGTAATTGTTATCCAA